CTAGATTGAAGAACAAAACGACAGCAATTTGTCTGTTCCCCTTTCCCCAATTCCCCAGCACTGTTCCCATCCCCCCAATTCCCCAATAAAAATCTTAAAAAACAAACAAACAAAAAAAAACTGTCCAGTACTTTGACCTTCCCTTCCTATCCTACATTGGTTCCCTATGATACAGTCTACTGCTCTAGCCAGACCTTTTCCTTTCCTCAAGATGACTTCTGCCAGCCCAGCATGCAGTTATCAATCTCGAATGCCTTCTTTCTCCTTTCTACCTTCCCAATCGTGCCCAACCAATAGTTCACTGATGTCCTGCCTACTTTGAGAAGCTTTCTCCAATCCTTGAGCACCCCCTTCCCTAAACCACTACAGCACTTACTGCCTGTGCCACTCAATGTGTCATTAAATCATGGAAAATGTTTTCTGTACTCATGTTTTACCACCCCAGGTAAGTACACCTAGGGGACAGAAATCTTGTCCTACATTTTTTCTTCAACAACTAGGACAGTCCTGGACCTGCTTTAGATGCTCAGCTAACATTTTAGATGGCTTATTTGTCTTAGGACCTGGTACAGTGCCCAGCAATGCAACGGTAAACAAAGCAGAGAGAGTCCCAGGCTTCATGAAGCTTCCAGTTTAGTGGGGGTGATTAAACACCTAAATTGAAATTGACTGAATGACACAAAGAAGGACAGAAAGGAGGCAGGCAGGAAGGAAGAATTTATAAGAGTTAGTGGTTCCACATCTTCTAGTCTTCAGAGGGAAAAATATGTGTCTATGTATTTTCTATTTCCCAGGTATTATGGCTGTGGTCTGATCATCCCTGAGTATCTGGAAAACTGCTGGATTTTGGACCTGGGCAGTGAAAATGGCAGAGATTGCTATGCACTTAAATAGTTGGTGAGAAGGGACAGTCACTGAAATAGATGTGACAGAAGGTCAGGTGAGGCAATGATTTGGAGGACAAAGAGGAAAAATTCTCAAAGGCATTCTTTTAGAGATAAAGTTTCCTTTGTGACTCTTCAAGGAGAATTTAAGAAGGCTGATATTGTTATGTAGTTTTCTATCCTTACTCATGAATACAGCCTATTTCCTACTGAACATACAAATATCACCACTTTTTGCTGAATTGACTCTCATTAAGGGTGTTAAACTGAACTTGGCATGACTTAATAAAGGGAAGGAGCTAGTCTGAGCCACTTGTAGTTCATGGCCACAGAACACACTAGCCCAAGAGGGAACTTATTTTAAACGTAACTATAAATCAAAGAGCCCAAAACACCAGCAAGACCAGCATACAATACACACTGACCTGTTCTCGTTCATATTATTTTCATAGCAAATTACAGGATCCTGTGTTTCTCCTTTTTCTTTGCACTGTTAATCAAATCGTGCCCAAGTGACAGCCTTAATAAACTGCCTTGAGGAACTTAGCCTGTCTACCTGTGGCATAAGACATGCCTTGGGCAGCAAGCGTCTAGTCACAGGTCATTTTGTTGCATGGAGAACATCAGGGCAGAGACAAATAAGCATGACTGGCATTTTTTTCTGCACCCTCAAACTTGCTGACAATTTATTGAGATTTTAAACACTGTCTATCTCCCTCATCTTGGGAAAAAGTTGAATGTGGGGAAGAGGAGGGAGGCAGGAAGAAAGGTGTAGCTTTGAGACAATGGTGGAAGCCATCTTTAGGGACTGAAAGGATGTGAAGATCTCTGAGTAGTGTGCAGATTTGCTGGATGTTCTAGCTGTTCTCTTTTAGACCAAATGGTGTCATTAACCTTGTGCCTGATAAACAACAAGTGCTGCAGGAGGTATATAGGAGTGCTAAAGATGAGGGGAAGAGGGAGACCAGGGATCTTTGAACAACAGTGAGAGCAGATGGGACCTGTCCTGTTCTTGCCTCCTTGAGCTGAGAGCTCAAATTCTCTTCATTTATCCGCTAAAATTGAAAGGGGTGGCACAAAAGGGGAGTGGCAGGAATACCCCAGCTATGGATTCTTTTTCCTCTCAGGTTGCAAAAGGTAAGTCTGAGAGTCACGATTGTCACTGAGCATGCTAAGATGTTTGTTTTACTGGCTGTCTCTCCTGTTTGCTGCTGTGCGTGGTCCTAGAATGCGTCTGCAGAGTTGCAGGAACCTTAGACCGGCTACCAAAGCTTGCTATGAATATACTTTTCTAGCTTGACAGTATGTCTCAAGGCTACTGACTTCATATCTATCGGGATTCCAGATCTTTGGGGAGTTAAAGATGGAACTTTAAGTACTTTCTAAAAGGAAGGCACTCCACATTCTTTATGTGCATGAGATGTATATCTTCATGACAAGATATTCTGAGATTTTTGCTTTACAGGGTCATTGTAGAGATCAAATATGAATATCTATGTGGAAAAAAAATGAGTGTGTGGAAATAATTTAATAAGTTGATTTAATTAGTGTGCCATTGATTTAGTGTGCCAAATGATTTAATTAGTGTGCCATTTTGTAGATCAGCTCACTATCTTCACCAAGATGTATTTGTAAAAGGTAGAGAGACATTATTGTAGAATCTAGACCTCCGTACTCTTGAAATTAGCTAAATAAATCTTAAAATTCCTGCTCACTCATATGCCTGAGATTTTAAGGACAATATTGAAAAACTATGTTATTATAAAAGTAAACAGCATTACAAAAAGTTTTATAATTTTTAAGAGAGAAGAGTTTATGAATATTATTTTCTTCTTCTGTTAGTTATACAACAACCTGAGGGCTGCATTTGCTTCAGATGGGCTCAAAATTTAGGTAATCTGAGTATATTTAGGAGAGAGATACTCTTGTAAAGCTATTTTATTACTTGTCGAGTAGGGCACGGAAAAAGAAACCTTGGTACTTGGCTATTGATTGTAACTAGGCAGGCAGCTGTTATTTGTTCTCAAAGGGTCAGCTCAAGCACTTCCAATGGTTTTTAAAATTAATTTTATCACCTCATTCCTTTCTTTGCTATCTGGGACAAATGTAATCTTTAGCCTTGTTTAGACTAATTCTGCTGTTTCTGCGTGGCGGGGAGCTATATTTCAGTGACGTCTATACTAGCCTTGAATTGCCAGAAGAAATCAGGACACACAAAATTTTATGGGGTAGGTGTTTTTTTATTTTATTGTTATTTTAAGGCAGATATTTGTGCGTGTACAGAGGTTCATTCTGCTAATATCCAGGATGAGACTTTGTGATGTGGGAACACAGGGATTAGGTTCCATTCCTCCTCTGCCACGCAAAAGTGGTGTGACCTTGGACAGTTTAAATAATCTCTTCCAGTCATTGTTTTCGAAATTGTAAAATGTAGATAATACTACCATCTACCTATAGGCTTTTATGAAAATTAAATGAGATAATGAATGTGAAGGATACGTTGAAACTGCAGTGTAGAAATGAGGGCAAATGTTTCAGAACTGATGCCCTCTTAATCCCCTTATGTTCTTTCTCATCATTATTGTGTTGTTTATTCCTTTTGTTGTCATAATGGAGTCTCTGGAAGTTGAGGAGATAAATGCATATGTGTGGTCAGTCTGACTACGAAATCAAAAGTTCTTACTTTTAAAATAAATTATATTAGCTTTCTTTTATTATACAATAATAAATCTATATTGTTAAAAAGTTGGAAAATACAAAAAGTAAAAGACAAAATTACTACTAATCATATAGCCCAGCAATAACCTTTTTTTTTTTTTTTTTTAAGCTGAGCCATCCTGCCACCTTTTGGCAGCTCAGCGGCAATTCAGCTCTGGCTGGGAATTGAACCGGTGATTGTGTTGCTCAGAGCTTACACTCTTGAGCGAGCTCTTAACCAACTAAGCCACTCGGCCGTCCCTCAGCAATAAAACCTCTTTAACATTTTAATATATATCCTTTTAGGGTTGGTTTTTTTTTCTGTGTGTAATAAAATTGGGACATGCTATATACAGAGGGTGCCAAAAAAAATGTATACACTTTTTAAGAAAGGAAAAAACTGTGTTAAAATTATAATAATATATACCAGTAATAAAAGATGAATACAAGTCATGTGTTTACATTTTTTTGGCACCCCTGGTACAGAATTTGGTACGTATTCTAACTTTATTTAGCATATTTCCTAAGCCTAAAAAATTTAAATATGCTTTAAATGTTTGTGTTATACAACTGTACTGTACAGCTGTAACTATACTTTATTTGACCATTTCTCTATTGGCGATCACTTAGGTTTTTTCTAATTTGTTGATGTAATAAATAAAAAAAACCTGTAAAGTGCCTTATGAACATTAGTAATAGTTATTATTCTAGTAGCAGATCATTGTAAGATTAATTTGGAGCTAAAAGGCTATTTTGTAATTTATCTTTTATGCCTTTTTGCTTACATAGTATAGTACTTTCCAGAATCAGACCTAATACCATACATGAATATTATGATTGCAGCTGGGTGGGACCACTACATTGGTGACTTTCCTGAAGAATGGTTCCCAGAGACCATTAACTAGCATACTCAATTTTAATCATGACTTTCTAGACTTTGGGGGGGACACTCAGGTCCTCTATTTCTAGGACCTATGTTTTAACTAATACCATATCCTAATCAATTATGTAGAAGAGTAATTCCCTTAGTACCTAGTGGTACTGGTTGGTCTGTGGTTTTTGTTTTCTTAGGTGAGTGCCTGGTGGTGCTTTGTACTGGAAGGACTTTGTCATCCTTACCTCAGAAATTGCGTTCTGCCCTTCACGTTTGGTCACTGCCAATCTCATCATTCACAAAAAGGAACTAGAAAGAGTGATCGGTAAGAAACAACACAAAGGAATATTATGACTATATCCCAAATGGTTCAAATTTGGTGATTAGCAAGTATTTACTGAGTATCACCGAGGGAGACTGTGTCATCTGGAAATCTCCATCTATCTCCTGTTTAATGGCAACCTCCCCAAATTTGGTACCTAATAAAACTTTTAAGTTAGTCAGTAAATAAAATGAAATGCCTAGAAAGATAACTGATGGGATGCAAAGAATAAAATCATGTTTATAATATGTATGCTCTTCATCTGCTGAGCAACCCCAGTAGCTGCTTGAGTGCTGGAGGTGAACTGTGAGTAAATTCTGTTTTTAGGGGACTGTCGTTTTGTTCTGCTTCATTTCACATCTTCAAACTCCTTAAGACAGAACTAGCCAAAAGATGCTAAGTTATTTACAATGGAGGAATCACAGGACATGAAAAAGAATTAATACTTGATGCCAATTTCACATTTAAGGTAATAAAAATTTCCATGGCTTCTGGCATTCTATCTATTCTTACTTTTGCTCCATAGTATTGCTTCTCACTTTTCTGGTATTGGTGTGTGTGTGTGTGTGTGTGTGTGTGTGTGTGTGTGTGTGTGTGTTTGCTGAACCATTAAGTTACAGACACTAGGACATATTACCCTTGAATAGTTCAGCATGCATCTCCTAAGAATAAAATATTTTCCTATGTAACCACAATACCATTATCACAACTAAGAAAGTTGGCAGCTCAAGGCAGCTCAGCTCAAGGTGCTGTGTTCAATCTTAGTTGAGTGGGCATAGCCCACCATCCCATGCAGGAGTCCAGCTGGCAACCTCGTTGTTAGGAGCACGTGCTCTCACCAGCTGAGCCATCCTGCCACCTGTTGGCAGCTCAGCAGCAGCTCAGCTTGGGCACAGCTCACTGGCCCATGTGGGAACAGAACTGGTGACCCTGTTGCTCAGAGCTCGCGCTCTTAACCAACTGAGCCACTTGGCCGACCCACGAAGAAAGTTTTTTATGGGAAGCATCATTCAGACATCAGATTAATGAAACTATAGAGAAGCAGGATAGAAAAGAATGGGAGTAATGCATAAATGTATTTCAGTTGTTTAATTGTATCATGAAATTAAGGAAATTTTAGTGTTTAATGATAACACATTAATATTTCTACTACTCTTTATAGAGTAGGTTTTGTTTTCTCAAAATGGACAAGTACAGGCTTTGGAATCAGATACCTAGGTTCAAATTCTGGCTCTGTTATTTATTACTTGGGTAAACTTGATTAAGTCACCAATATTCTTTGAGATGCAGTTTGCTCCACTCTAAAAGTAGGGATAATACTACCTACCTTGCAGAATTTTTATAAAGGTTAGCAACAATAGAACAAAATATTTGTATATACTAGGAACTCAGTAAACAGGAGATACTGAGTTATTTTTCCCAAAGGTAGAAAGACTGACTGTTTCTGTCCTCTGATTGTTTTTTATTCAAATTTTTTATTCAAATCTTCAGATTTCTTAAATGCTTCCTGGTGCATTGAAACCATTAATGCTTTTTACGATACATTGCCCTGTGATGTACCGCCTGCTCCAATAGATTCACAGAATCAGAGAGGGAAGAGCTTTTGAACCCATTGCTCTGGTCTGGTGGCTTTCAAAAAAACATTTAAAAAAAAAAGATTTTATTGGAGAATTGGGGAAGGGAACAGTGTTGGGGAATCGGGAAAGGAGAGCATTGTGTTTTTTCCAGACCCATCAGCTCCAAGTCAAGTTGTTGTCCTTCAGTCTTAGTTGTGGAGGGTGCAGCTCAGCTCTAAGTCCAGTCTCCACTTTCAATCTAGTTGTGGGGTGGGGGTGGGAGGTGCAGTCCATCATCCCTTGTGGGAGTTGAACCGGCATCCTTGTTGTTCAGAGCATGCGCTCTAACCAACTGAGCCATCTGGCCTCCCTGTCATGTTTAAATTTTTAATCCATCTGGAATTTACTTTAGCATAAATGTTGAGGTAAGAGTGTGACTATTTTTCCAAATATTAACTGCTCAAATTTTCCTATTTCATTTATTAAATAAACATCATTTGAGCCAATATTCCACTATATTCTAAAGTTATTTTCTAAAATATTTCTGATTCATATTTAGAGTTATTCTAGTAATTGAGGTATTGGTATGGGATTTTGTAAAGCATTTTATCACAATTGATCTCATGTCATCTCTTATAACTACCCAATGAAGAAGACAGATAGATAAATATTAGATATATCAGATAGGTAGAAGACAGATGACAGATATTAGCCTCCATCTTTGCCTTTCTCTTAGGTGTTTTTATATTTTCCCCTGTTCATGCTATCATAATTATTTTATTAGTCCACTTGTTAATTTGTAATATTTTATTATTTAGAAAGGCTTAGTGATGGATGTCAAGTCCCTTTTGGCTAACATTCACCAAAGTCACGATGGTGATGCACCTCAAGGCACTGAATGTTGGAAGCCCAGGGAAATAAGATGCTGAGGTTGCTGCATCGGGATGGTGGCATAGTGTGGGGATTAAGTACACTGGCCTTAGAGTTGGAAAGGCTAGGTCCAGATCTTGGCTCTGCCCCTTACGTACCATCTTGGGTAGGTAACCTTGTCTCTTTAAATCCTTAGCTTCCTCATGTAGAATGGGGAGGTAATGATCACATTTCCCTCACAGGTTGTGAGGGTCAAATGAGGTGAAAAATGTAAAATGGTAGTCCAATGCCTGGCACGTAATACATACTTCAGAGATAGAAGTGGTTATAAGTATGAATTTTACTTAATAAGATTCTTGGTTTCTTGGGGCTCTGTTTTAGGTATTTGAGTTCTGACCATCTTCACAGGATTCTTTTATCATTCTCCCATGTATAATTTCTCCTGGCCTCAGAAGTTGTGTAATCTCTCTCCATGAATGTTTGCTTTCTGTTGCTTGTATTTTGTAGTAATTTTGGGTACATTGAGCATACATTGATACCCAAGTAATTCGTGTCTTTTTTTCCTTTTGTTACCTCATAAGCAGTCTTTAAAAGTAAAGCTTAGTTAGCGATCACTCTAAAAAATGATAAATTTGTGGTTGAGAAGGTTTAATCGAACACAAGAGACAAGAATCCCAGAGCAAAAAGCCTAATCTGTTCTTGTGTGGTCACGATTACCAGCATGAATAAAGCCTATTCTAAGCATAGAAATCGCCTCTAGAGCTGATTTACTTTCTTTGCTTGATTCAATTCTTGAGCACTCTGCTGTTGTTACTCTTCTGTTTTTCTAAGACAATGATTTTTTTGGAAAGCAGAGAAATCTGACTTCTGACATTTAAGTCCATCAAATATTTCACAAATATGTTATGGGTATCTTTAAATGCGTGGGGGTACATTGATTATTTTTAAAAAAAACCTTCCTGATTGAAATCAATGTTTATTCTGAAATGTTTTCATCGTTTTAATTCTCCTGTAACCTGGTTTCCTGAAAACAGGCCCTACAAGCTGTCAGGAGATTTCAGTTACAAGTAAAGGGGGTCCTTCCTCCAGCCACAATATTCTAGTATACTCTGGCTGTAAGAGATGTAGGTAAATGAGTTTGCTTCTGCAGGAGGCCATTTCCTTCCAGCATAGCTGTCCTAGTGTGCACATGGGGCATGTGCAGAAGGGGCTTGACCTCAGATACAGATAGTAACATTCTACGTATTTGAACTGGTTTATCCCAACAGTCTCCTTTCTATTCTGCCTTATTTCTTTCAGCCCGCAGATGTGCCTATGTCTTTAAAGCAGTTCCAAGTTTTTGAAATGGAAATAATTGACACTGAAGGAAGATTTAAAGAATGAACAGCTGGTGTGTCCTAGAAATATAACACTGTGCCTTTAGGGGAGGACACTCATATCTTTTTTTATGGCAGACCTTTATGATAAACCCTTGAGTACCGGACGGGCAGGCAGCGTGCAGTGACTAGCTTATACTTACTTACATCTTCCCATCGGTTGCTGCAACAGAGAGGAATGAAAGGTGTGGCCTCTTTTGAGGACTGACTCCATGATGACTGTTTTTGAGAGTCCTTCTTTTTCTTTTTCTTTCTTCTCTGTTCTCCTCCTTCTTCTTTTTAAATCCTGATATGCAAAGTGTATTTTGCCATTACAAGAGCTACATTATTATAACACTGCAGCAACTGAAATGACACAAGTTGGATTCGTGCTATGTATTGTCTTGCTTCAGTCAATAGCAGTGGTAGTAATACATGAACAACAGTAGTAATAATACAGAGAACCTAGCCTTTATTGAACAGTTAATATGTTTAAGGCACCATGTCATTTAGCCCTCACAATGACTCTTATTATCATCACTTTACAGATGAAGAAACTGAGAGGCTCAGAGAGATTGATTTACTAGTGAATTTGAACTTCCCAATGTCTGATTCTAGAGATGACATTCTTGCCCAATATGCTCTACTACCTCTCCATATTTATATTTTGCATAGACTCACAGGATGTTGGTGCTGGAATGGACCGCTTATTAAGATGTCTCACTTTTTATTTCCTTCAAGTCTTGAAATCTTTTTTAGGGCTGGGAGCATGCATTTGGAAGTGATTTAATATCACTGTTTCCTATTGGTAGGAAGGACATGGAGTGGGAAGAAGAGTATGGAAAATCATTTTCCTGGGTGAAAAAGAGGAGAGGCTAACTCTTCCGACCAGGAATTCCAATGTATCGAGAGGGGGGAAATACAATGGATGTGAAGGCCTGGAAGCAGCAACCAGCATAGCCAGCCCTCACCCTTTTGGCTGTTAGTCAGCCTATTAGGGAGCCCAGATCCAGGCAGACAGAGGCCAGCCATCAGTAAGTTAGTTCAGTAAAGGGAGTGGGCCATAAAACTGTCATTCGTGAATGTTGGGTCTCTGCCCGTCTTGTAAATCCTTCTGTTTGCAGTGACCAACAATAAATAGTAAGAGTGTAAATATGTTTTTTTTTTCTTGACCATATATGGATGGGTTTATTTCTGGGTTCTCTATTCTGTTCCATTGGTCTATGTGTCTGTCTTTATGCCAGTACAATACTGTTTTGATTACTATAGCCTTGTAGTATGATTTGATGTCGGGTAGCATGATACCTCCCACTTTGTTCTTATTTCTCAAGATTGCCGTGGCTGTTTGGGGTGTAAATATGTTTTTAATGAACCCATTGCCATTATTTACTCTTGCTCTTGATTTCCTACCTCTGTGCCTGGTTTTTCATTGGCCCCACTGGCACTGCTGTGGGAGGCATCCTGTTTGGAGATGAAAGGAGGAAAAAGAAAACTGCTGTCTTGTCTTTCAAAAACTCCACTTACTCTGCCCTGAGATCTTGCTGACCATTGCTGGCAATCTCAACATCTTAACATCAGCAATTGCTAATGATGGCCCTGATTTACCTTCCTGTCTTGCTTACATGTTTCCTGAGATTAGAGTAAGGAAAGGGAAGGAATTCCAGCATTTCAGCATCTCAAAAGGCTAAAAAGCACATACAAATGGGAATCCCACAAAACAAAACAGCAAAATCAACCCTCCTGGCCCCATAGGGACTGCCTTTAAGAAGCTTTAAAAGAGGTTTACCTTGGAAATGGTAATAACTTGATTAAAATCTTCAGAAGAAGATGGCTACCTTTATAACTGAGTGACTAATGCTACTCCCAGGACCCCAAGGAACTGTAAAAATTTATCTCCCTTCTATGTAAATCAACCTAAATCAAACTGAAATATTAGTGTTTGGGTTCATCAAAACACCTGTAACTTGTCCTTTCATTTTGGTTTGCTTTTTGACAGGATCTAATCACGGACCCATTCAAGCTTGTGGAAGAGTCTGACAATATGAAGTCCAGATGTTCCCCTGATGTTGCTAGAGGCTGCTGTGGCACAAAGAAAAGCTGCTAAAACTACAGCTGACCTGAAGACATTGGGCAGGAGGCTAAGAAATAAGTTATATATGCCTTTTAACCTGCTCTTCTCCATAGCACAGACCATAAGAAAGAATAAATAGCAAAAAGGCACCATATTCTAGATAATTGATAAAAAGAAATGAATTGTTTTTAGATGATATTAATGAAGGGTTCATAGCATATCACCTAAAGATGAGCAAAGCACTGTTTCTCTATCTGAACTTATTCAAAATTTTGGTGCCACTTAGTGGTCAGAAATGGAACTGAGAAGCCGTCTTAAGGCTTGACCAATGGGCAAGAAAAGCTTCAGAAATAACAGTTGGCAGAGTTTCAGGAAAAACATCTTCCTTCTGACCTGCATAGCACCTTTTAGGCTTTTCAGCATGTTTGCTCATTAAACAAAGCTCCTACTGAAATTGTGCTAATCATGACAAAAGATTGCCAAATCAAATTTGGTAGGCGTGCCCTTAACTGGTCTGTTAAATCAAACACTTAAAAGAAATCCAGAAAGAAGAAAACAAATGAATAATAAATTTTTTTGACCTCAATAAATTTTTTTAACTCTAATATATGACAATGTAATGACTATCTATAGTAAATCCTAACTAGATCAGGAAAAGAGTTTGATAATTTTTAAATGAAGAGCTAGGATATTGGTGGGTTTTCTTTTTCCTTTACAAGGCACCCCAAGAAAGTATTAGATTTAGTTCTGGTTTCCACAGTTAAAGAAAATTGAGGAATATTTCAAGGCTGATTACATCATTAGAAATTAAGAACATCAAGGAAAGTTTCAAGAATGATTAAATAAATTGAAGCCCAGTTGTACTTGAAGACTTTGTCAGAGGACATAGAAAGATGATCCTTGTCATCATCAGGAGCTGATAGTTCATTTTTATTTTTTTATTTTTAAAGATTTTTATTGGGGAATTGGGAGAAGGGAAACAGACAAGTTGCTGTCCTTTTGTTCTTCAGTCTAGTTGTGGAGGACGTTGCTTCACTGGCCCAAGTTGGCACCATCATTGCGTTCTTCCCAGGTGAGGCAGATCAGTCACCAGCTTCTGGACGGCCGCTAGGCCACTCACGCTGGCTGCTGGCTAAACACGGTAGCCCATGGCAACCCACTGCAGCAGTGGCTGCAGCTTACACCATCGCCGGTGACTCACGGCAGCCCAGCTCCAGGCACCCCAGCTCCAGGCTGAGCTGTTGTTCAGCATCTTAGCTGTAGAGGGCAGTGTCACCGGCCCTCATATGTGGGATCCGAACCAGGACCCTCTGGCATCCCAAGCCAGCTCTTAACCAACGCGCCACCCGGCCGGCCCAATGAAGAGTTTTAATAAGAAAATTTCGACTGGTTGCTCTGAGCTTAGTGTATAAACACAAGGGGGCGCTAGCGTGGTCCAAGAGATTTTTCATAAGAGGGATGAGAATTTTTAGGCCTTGGAAAACATGGCAATGGATTTTGCAGGGACAAACTCCTTTTTTAATACAGCTGTTAAAAATGGAGAAATTCTCAGATTACGAAGTGGGTTCAGCTAGAGACCCTGACTTACTACTACAGACCAGGGGAAGGACAGTGTGGTACCTTTTAAGCCCTATTTGTCTATCTGACCTTGATTCTAAATAGTGCTTTCTTGGTTTTAGAGTTCAATATTTACCCAGTCATAACCTAATTTAGCGACATCATTAGTTAGAATAGTACAGCTGGGATAAGCATACTTCACTGTCCATGAGCACAAGGTAGTCCTACTAGAAGGGAAATGATGAAAAGAAAGGGTGTTCTGGTTATTTGGCTTATAGGCTCTTCTAAATTTAGGGGAAGAACTATTATTAGCCTTTCACTTGTCATTCTGAACTCTCAGGTCCCCCCAAAAGATGTTGAGGGGTAAAATTGGGCTGAAATATAGAGATTTACATTGTTCTTTTCCTAAAACTAACATTTTATACATGATTTTCAAATAAAAATATAGATTTTAAGAATTGTATTTGACTTAGAATCTAGAAAAGATATGTATTAGACAATATAAAATTAAAGTAGATGTGTTTTGCCTTGAAAAATGCCATAAATAATTATTTAAATATTCGAAATTGGTGAAATATACAACTAGGAATGTACAACCCTGATAAGAGAGGATACTTCTTCAAGAGTGAGAGGCAGTATGGAATGATAAGAGCGAAAACCCATTGCAAAACTACAGTATTTTTCCCTGTCAGTTCTGCCACTTAGCATTTTGGCCTTGAGAAAATCATTTAACATCTCTGTGCCTTGGTTTTCTCTTTTGTGTGATGTCCTCATGGTTTAGATTATTGTTAGTTTAGATCTGAATGATTGCCACCAGCATGTGATGCCAGGACCAGCTAAAGACCAAGCCTCCTTTTGCTGCCAGAACATGGGTTAGGAAGCTGCCTGTAGCTCTTTGGACAGTAGGTGAGTTCCCTTCAACATTTTATTATGACAGCTTTCAAATATACAGAAAAGTTTTAAAGAATTACAGCAACTACTCATTCACCCAGAACCTAGATTATACAATTCTTAACCTTTTGCAATATTTTATACATTTTAACATTTACTAACAGCGGAGCCACAGAAACGGGGCCTAATTCTTCCCTAGCCTTTTTTCAAAAGATGTTGATTGGACTTAAGGAGTTTAAGCAGCTGATTTTCTCTTTATTGATTATTGTATCAAATACTGTATTTTTAGTCATTCATTATCACAGGGTGGGGGGGAGAGGGTATTTAAAAATCATGGAAGCCTGCAGAGAGGCTTTTCAGCTTACCTACTGGGAGATGCTCTGCAGTAGCCTGAACAGGACCCCCAATCCAACCTGGAGCACCTCCAGCCATGCATAACTAAAAAGGGCATGGCTCTGTGCCAGGAGAACCTGTTCATCTAATTGATTCTTGGCCTTTCCTTGGATGGCTCCAAGGAAGCAGCCAAGGTGGTCACTAATTTTGCCTTACTCGGTTGGTAGGTCGACTAAATTACTCTGGCAAGGATTGGGAACCTATCCACCCATTATTTCATTTTCTCACTAAATATTAATTACATACCTATTTAAGGGTACTGGGCACTGTCCTAGTCATGGACCGCTAACAATGGAATATTATGAACCCTGTGGGGCCAATGGGACAAAAATAGCTAAGCATGTTTTCTAAACTTTGTTGGCACCTGTCCTCACTTCTGTGATTTGCCAAGTTTCTTCAACCACACACAACAATTTGGGTCTAAACAAGGGTTCTTTTGTAGACCCTGCCCTAAGTGTCTGTTGAGAGAGATCTTACTAGATGATAAGGACAAAGTCTTTTGCAAATATGAAGCTGGAATTCTACAGTCCTAATAATAACCTCTGACTTGAGCTTTACTGCTTCATTCCAGCCTCTATTCAACTGCTGATCCTGCAGTTCCTGTAAGCACAACTCCCACTGAGGTTAATGGGAGTGTTCTGTGAACGTGAACGTAAGTTTTGTACTTAGTCTTCTCCTGCTGAGTGAGCCTTGCTTGTCTTGGACTGACGACCATCCCCTTCCCCAACGGGAACATGCCAACCCCTCCTGTCATGTGGTAGAGTCTTGTGGCAATGACATGCTCCAGGTGAGGAGGCAATCAATTTGGAACAAAAAAGTCTACCCTAATGCAATTCCATTGCCTCAGGTAATAGCACAATGCCTCACATACATTGTCCAGAAGCCAGAGAGAATAAAAAAGAATGGTAAGTCGATAATGTTCTGAGTACACTGTAAGCCAGACTTGGGTCTACTAACTTTTAAAACTAGTCCTAAAGCCATTAACCTTCTTCTCACTCATGAAAAGAAAAGTCATGCAGGACCCAGAAAGCAGGTCTTCTTTCTAGACCTGCTCCGCTGTGGAACTAGTTACTTGCCCATAGGAAGATCATTTGTCTACGTTAGAATTAGTTCACTTTCCTCACCTGTAAAATGGGTGTTGAACTCGCTGTACTCTAACTTCCCTTCCAGGCTTAGGAATAGATTTATGGCTCTAGATTCTGGATTGGTCACAGAGTTTTAAAAATTGTTGGAATTAGTTGCCACATTTATAAACCAGAAGGTTTTACAGAACATATGAATTTCTGGCTTCCCTTGAAAAATTGGAAATGCTGGCATCATTGACCCTGCATTTCTGCCACATGGCCATGGCAAGAGTAAGTACTGGCTTCCCCTTCAGGCAGGACGTGTCCTTTAGAAGGTTCTCCACCATCTCTACCCAGTCAGCTTTACTGACCTTCTGCCTTTGTGGCCCTGTTTTAGGACTAGAATTAGCTGAGTTTCATCAAAATTACAAGTGACTATTCTTTTTTTAAAAATTCCATTATAGTTCAAATGATGGCAGGTCGATGGCTTAATCTCTGACTTATATATTTAATTCATTACAAGCAGAAGCCAAGAAGGGCACGTGGAGCTTTGCGGGGATGCTCACAGGAGGGAGCCAGAGTGTGGAGCTGCTTATGGTAATTTGACATATAACTCAGAGCCTAATTGTGTCAGGTGAGGTGGCCTGGACAGTTTCTTCTCTGTTCCCAGAGTTCACAAGCTTCCATCACCCAACTTTCTCTGTGAATATGAAATGAGCATCCTCTAGAAAGCAAATCCTCAAAATGTCAACTTGCTAATAGGAAAGGTTTGCACAGCAAGGGCAGGACCTGTGTGGCTTCTCGGCTTAGTGGTTAATCTTTTATTAACTGTCCTTATTTTCTTTTTCTTATTACCCTTATTATTCCTTTCAATTGGATCTAACTGGGGAAGTGTTATGAAGGAGGTATTTTTATTTTTGCTTCTAAATAATGTAACAGGAGCCCATGAAGCTGTTGGAACCCTGTAAAAATGGTGGTTTCTCATGGTAATGAGGATTCATTGTGGATATAAACCAAGCCAAAGGTCCCGAGGTGTTTCTGTTACTGAAAATAACTCCCTTACACCTCCCTCACAGTGCTGATTTTTCTAACTTTACAGAAGAGAAAACCAAGGCTGAGAGTATTTAAATGACTTGCATGATGAGAGTACTTACAATCTAAGTGTTAGAACTAAGTGTTAGAACTGAGGCTAGAACTAGGTCTTCTGACTCTGTACCACTTTATTACAGGGTTTGTCCCTTCTCTTCTTTCTGGAAGTTCCTAAATTTAAAAATATAGAAATAAAAAGGGAAATGATTACTGTAACAGTAAGAATAGTGGTTACATCTAGGGTGGAGGAGAGGTGTGTGATCCAAAAGGATATGGAGGGGTTTGCTGGACTGGCGGGGGGGGGGCGTTCCTTTACTGTTATAAATTATTATAAAGGGAACATAATTTTTGCCTGCAACTGTCCCAGTTTAAGCCTTAAACTAGGTTAATTATTAATAGTACCTTTTTTTTTCTCTCAGATGGATTCTGTTTTGGATGATAAATTATATGATGAGCTATTATACATTTATGTTTTATGCACTTTCATGTATATTATATCTCAAAAATCTTTTTCAAGTTTGAAAAAATATATCAGGTAGTCTGACCTACGTTCAGGTTTCTAGGTCACAGGATGAACTTATGTTTGCTCTAAGATCCACTCTTACTGTGCAGACCACAGGGGTAATAGCTGTCATTCATGTGTGATTTCCTGGACAGAGGGTGTGGTATCCCCTCTTCGTTTTCTGGGGCTCCTGTGGCATGAGATAGTTATCTGTTTCTTTGTCCTACACATGGCTGGAGATATGGTGTGTCCCTTAGTCCTAAATGTGAAGATCAGCCCAAGATAATACATAAGACAGTGCTTCGTAAACCACGAAGGTGTTTTTCTACGTGGAGTGGCAGAAGTTCCCTAAATTCCCAAATGGCAGGGCCCCAGCAGCACTGCACTGGTTCCTGTCAGTTAATCTTCCTATTATACAGCTCTTCTGCTTGGAACTTTTTATAGCTCCCCAGTGCCTCTATATAGAATGAAATCTATACTCCTAAACTTGGCATTCAACCTACCACAAACCAACCCCAGCCAACTTTCCAACATTTTTCTTATTGTTGCTCTTCAAGGAATATATAACCAAATTCAAAAACATGGTGTTCCAAAAATACTGCTCCTTTTCCAACTTCCCCTCACACTTCTCACTCCATTAGAATGCCTTTTCCCCTTTCTTTTCTGTCAGTCCCTTTGTCATGGACTGAAAATTTGTGTCTTCCTTCCCCTTCCCCAAATTCATATATTGAAGCCCTAACCCCCCAGTGTGCCTGTATTTGGAGAGGAAACCTCTAAGGAAGTAATTAAGGTTAAAGAGGAGGTGATGAGAAGGGGGCCCTGATCCAATAGGATTAGTGTCTTTACAAGAAAAGAAAACAGAGAGCTCAAATGTTTCTCTCCATGCACGCTCTCAGAGGAAAGGCCATGTGAGGACAAAGGGGCTGCCTGCAAGCTAAGAAGAGAGCTCTCAACAGAAACAAACCTGTAGGACCTTGATCTGGACTTCTAGCCTCCAGAACTGTGAGAGAATAAATTTTTGTTGTTTAACCCACTCAGTCCATGATATTTTATGGCAACCTGAGCAGACTAAGTAAGACACTTTTCTTAGAATAGCTCTTAACATCTGCATATCTAAAATCTATTTGTCAAGGACCAATTCAAAGACCACGAAGCTTTTTTTAATTCCCCCACTTTATTTGTACTTCTTTTTAAGACATTTGATGTTCTATCCTATATTGTGTAGTTATTTAGTACATTTCCTAACCTCCTTACTATAAGTTTGTGGGGTAGTCTCTGATTCAATATTACAGCTCCACAATGCCTAGTACTTTGCTTGAAATTTAGATACACTATTAGTTAAGTGAATGAATGACTGAATGAATAAAAAAGAAAAAAGGAAATGGGGTGAGGAATAAAATACAAACTTTATTTCAAATTTAAAGAGGAAGCAGAGGGTTCTGATGTGGTATTAATAAATGGGGAGAAATAAGTTAAATCTTCAGTTTAGTAATGTTTAAAAGAAAACAAATAGGTATCTCAGAGGAACTAAAAATAGAATTTTTTCCACTGAGGTCTGACATATTGTTTGTCTATACATGGGGAGTTTGACTTATTATTGGAGTAGAATTTTTGCTCCAGCTTCAGAGGATGTGGAAAAAGGCCATGGGAACAAACTCAGCTGGTATGGGGAAACTGACATTTTATGACTAGAGTCCTAATCATAAATGAAAGCTCTGGTATCAGGTCCATGCAGGTCTGGGTCTTCTGGGAGGGCTCCGAATTGGACATTCAGCATCTGTTCTTTCCTCTGCGATCCCATTCCTAGTTACCATCCTCCTGTTGGAGTTTTCCTTACCTCCCATCTCTTCCTCAACTCCCCAAATGTGGTTTTGGAATTTAGGGTTTTGAATGGGCAATCATCACATGGGTCAACTGTAAAAACTAGGTAAGTGAAAAGTTTTCCTAAAATCACTACCTGGGTTGAGTGTTTTAATCATAATGATAAGGATAAGCGAGTTTAGAACCTTTCTTACCTCTTTGTCCAAGGCTGAGCTGGAAGCTGGAAGGGGACATAACCACAGTCAGAAAGCCCATTCTAAAAGATTCTAGAAAATCCCGCAGTTGCAGAGCCTGGCAGTCGGGACAGCAGTTCTAGAGCAGGGCACATAGCAGACTTGTAGCAGTTTTTCTCTGGGTAGCCCAGAAGGTCAAGGGGTCAGTGGAGGAAGGAAGTGAGTGACAACAGAAGAGTCAGAGTAGGGAGACCTCTTGGGGCTTCCCAGTGGGGGGGGGTGCAGGTGGGGCAGGCTCCCTGGGAGAAGGGCAGTGAGGGAGTGAGGTGCTGTCCTGTGCCCAGGGAAATCAGGAGGGAGTGGCAAGGGGCAACCCGCCATTGGCAGAGTGACTCCCTCATACCCACCTGAGACTCCAGACTCATTCTTGACGAGATTGGCCCCTTCTCAAAGGAGGAAGCTTTCCTTGTAACTCTGTCAAAAAGCCACGTTTTTCTTTCTCTTCCTATCCCAGTGACTATGTCCAGCAAATATTTAGAAAAGGAGGGAAATAGGAAAGCCCGAAACCAAAAGCCAGAAAAGTCCTCTAGAGAAGGTAAATGGAATTGCCGATTTTATTTTACTTTGCTTTTTGCCCACTGTTATGAAAAGTTCTCATTTGACCTAAAAGAGTTCTATGTATTGAAACGAGAAGACAATGTTGCTTCAGGGGGAACAGGTTGGACTCTAGGAAAAGTTTGGGTCACTCCAGCATTTGCCCAGTTCCTGCCTTTCCTCAGAGGACCTGGTGCTTTGATACAATTAAAATGTCACTGTTGAAGCAATAACTTTGAATATTTTTCTACAACTAGGCGATTTTCTTGGGGGGGAAAGGGGGAAGGAAGAGTTTCTTTATAAAATTAGAGCTTTATGTTGAGAAACAAAACACATTGAGAGCCATTTAGTGTTTTACTTGCAATATTTAAAATTAAACTCTGAAAGGCTTTTAGGTCCGGATGCGGTACCTTACAAATTTCTGAGCCTGCACACGTGGGAGCTTATCCCTGCAAAGAGAATTGAATGGTCACTCTCCCCATTTAGTATCCAGTGAAGGATTCCGTCAAGGGAGAAATACAGAAGGTGTTGGTTAGGAGGTTCTGGCTTTACCTAAATGATTTACTTAAGGTCAAGTCAGAACCTATCTAGGATTAGACATCTGCAGGAATTATTTAGCAATCTTGGGCCTTCTGTAGCCCTTTTTTGGGGTGAAATACATCAGAGTTTGGGTTTTTGTTGTATTCTTTTTCTTCCTGATTTAAAAAGTGATCCCTAGAAGCAAGTGTTGTCTTTGTCCTCGATTCTGCCTGGTGGACAGACTGGGAAGCCTCCTGGATGTCATGATAAGCCTGCACCAGCTGGCTTACTCACTAGAGAGAGGGTAGGTAACTCCTTGAACTAAAAATCCTCCAAACTTGAAGGAAGATTCCTCTTGCTAAGGAAAAATTACTTATCTAGATCACTTTGTGTTTTGGGTGTACCTGAAGACTATGACCCCCCTCCTAGTATAAACATCACTCAGTAATCCCCTGTGTGAATTTGAGTGTGGTTTATTTTACATTGTAAAATGTCATTTCTAACATTTTTGCTATGAAGTCCTGAATTTCTAACTTGCTTCTAAATTGCTAAATGCCACACTTTCCTGACTATTCTGGCATTCTTTGAAATGCACAGGAAATGTCTGTAGGTTTGGCAAGCTCTCCCCACCCCCTTCTCCGCACTCTTATTCCAAAAATGTACATTCAGCATTTGAGAGCTTTTAATCATCTTCCCTCTTAGCTCCCTTAAACACACTTGTACTCACACTTTTTATGAAGTTAAAACAGTTTCATTTTCAATCAGCTGACTTAGAAGGACCATATTTATCCTTAACCTTTGTCAGATATCCCTAAAAACCTCAACTTCAAAAAATCTTCTATACTTCAATAATGCTATTTTTATAAATGCATGCCAAGTCTGTGAATATGTTTTTTTTTCCATCTGAACTTATTTTTCAAATGCAGCAGTATGAAAATTGGGGGTGGAGGAAACATCACCAGAAACTGAAGTGCTGGAAGTTAAAATTGGGGACATTACTTGAAATAATCAGAATAAAAAATTCTTCATTCCTTTAACATTCTACAAATACTGTTTTGAACATATACCATTGTTTTAGGCCCTCCTGATACAGCAGTGAACAAAACAGACAAAATCCTTGCTCTTAGGAAGCTCAAGTTCTAGTGGAAGGAGACAGACAAGAAATAAATTAAGGAAAACAAAGCAGAGATGGAGAACAGGGGATGTTTGTTTACAAATTTTTTAAAAAGGAAGTCTTTGAGCAGTCTTGAAGGGGGTGAACTAAGGGGCTATGCTGACATCCAGGGGGAAGAAAGTCCCAGGCACAGGAAACAACAGCAAGTGCACAAGTTCCCAGGAATACAGTCGTGGAGAGAATGAGAAACAGCTAGGAGAAACTGGAGAAACTGACTGGAGCAGCAGGTGATGAGGTCAAAGAAGTAAAAGGAGGCACCAGGCAGGGCCTTTAGCGTCTTGTCGGATAATGTAGGTACTGTGGCTTTTACTGTGATGACATGGGAAGTCCAGAGAAGCATTTCAGATAAGGGAGTGACAGAATCTCATTTAACAAGACCAATCTGGCTGCTGGGTGGAGGAGGCAAAAGGGCAGGTGTAAAAGAGGAGAGACCAGTTAGGAAGCCCCTGCAATCATCGTGACCAGATATTGATCAGAAAATGTGCTTGCAGAATACAAAAAAGGAAGCAATTATTTTTTTGGCTGTTATTAAGTTGTAAGAAGACCAATTTGGCTGTTAACTCTGTTACCGCCTCTCCTCCAGACGCAGTGGGTTTGGAAGTCCTGGGAAGCTAAGTCTTCAAGATTTTTTTCTCCTGAGCAACAAACAGAGTAACCTAGCAGGGTTTGGTGAGTGTGATAAAGTATGAGACTTTATGGGTCTGTTTAAGATATCTGCTCCCTTCCATTTTCCAAACTTGCCTGGGTGCCTGTTAGAAATACAGATTCTTGGGTCCTACCCTTTCAGTAAGCATGGAATGGAGTCCATGGAATATGTACTTTCAGCAAGAATATAAGGGATTCTTATGTCTTGGAAGATGGGGAAACTGCTTAACTCTAACCTCCCCACCTCCCGCAAACCCTTTGGGGTTTGCTGTGGACTGGGAAATCGTTGCAGGGCGCCCATACCGCCGGCAGGTGGCGCTAGGAGACCGCGAGGGGCAGAGTGCGGAGACGCGCGAGGCTCCAGGAGAGCGGGTCCGTGCGGTGTTGGGGCCAACCAGCTACCACTTATCTCGGGCGGAGCGGCGCGCAAGAGTAGAGGAGTGGGGCACTGTCGGTGCCCGGGCTTCTTTTTACGCTAATGTGCATCTTAAGCTGTTCCTAGTCGGCTTCTCGGGCTGCTGGGGCAGGAAGGCGCAGCCTTCTCTGCACCGGCATTGAGCACTTGGTGAGACCGCAACGCGATGCAGCGAGAACCGGCTGCTTGGCGCCGCAGGACGTAAGTCCAACCCTACCAACTAAGGCGCCAAGATCTACTACCGAGGCTCGTCTAGGAGCCGTGGCTTCTCCAAAGGCCCCTTTTTATTGGCAGCCGTACAGAAGGCCCCGCCCCCTTTCGTACAGCTCTCATCTGTGACTGGCTCTCGGGTCCCAGCTGGCCACTCCTCCTTCCCTCGCACATACACAAGAGTCACGCGCCTTTCAGTTGGAAACTTGGCGTGCTGAGGAGGACCGTGGCCCTCATCTCCCCACCCACTCACCTTGCCATTGGTCTGCGGCGCCGCTCATAACCACGCCCCCATTCCAGCCCCCTGGCTGGGAGGGCGGGCTCACGCTCATGATTGGCTGGTCGGCCTGCCTCTCGCAGGAGCGGCTGGAGCTTTCTCCTCCCTCTCCCTCCTCCCGCGAGCCTCCAGGTTCCTTAGCTGGATCAGGCCGAGTTAGTGTCAGTCAGGGAGGTGGACTGTTGAGTACTCGGTGCGGACGCTCCGTTGCAATCTCTCCCAGGGGCCGGTGCCTGCACTCGCGCCGCCGGGTGAGAAGGATGAAGCCGCAGCTGGAGCAGCCACCCTATGATTGGCTGTGGCGCTTGTGAACCCGAAGTAAAGATGGCGGGCGGGCAGGCAGCCGCCGCACTGCCCACTTGGAAGATGGCGGCGCGCCGCAGCCTCAGCGCCCGCAGCCGGGGGGTCCTGCAGGCGGCGGCGGAGCGGCTGCTGCCGCTGCTACTGCTGAGCTGCTGCTGTGGCGCGGGAGGCTGCGTAGCGGCGGGCGAGAACGAGGAGACGGTGATCATCGGGTTGCGGCTAGAGGACACGAACGACGTGTCGTTCATGGAAGGGGGGGCGCTGCGGGTGAGCGAGCGGACTCGGGTCAAGCTGCGGGTGTACGGGCAGAACATCAACAACGAGACGTGGTCCCGCATCGCCTTCACCGAGCACGAGCGGCGGCGCCACAGCCCCAGCGAGCGCGGGCTGGGGGGCCCCGCGCCGCCGGAGCCGGACAGCGGCCCCCAGCGCTGCGGCATCCGCACATCAGATATCATCATCTTGCCCCATATCATTCTCAACCGCCGTACATCGGGCATCATTGAGATCGAGATCAAACCGCTGCGCAAGATGGAGAAGAGCAAGTCCTATTACCTGTGCACATCGCTGTCCACGCCAGCCTTGGGTGCCGGCGGCCCGGGGTCCGCGGGTGGCGCTGTCGGGGGCAAGGGTGGCTCCGGAGTGGCCGGGCTCCCGCCGCCCCCGTGGGCCGAGACCACCTGGATTTACCACGATGGCGAGGACACCAAGATGATCGTGGGCGAGGAGAAGAAGTTCTTGCTGCCCTTCTGGCTGCAGGTGATCTTCATTTCGCTGCTCCTGTGCCTGTCGGGCATGTTCAGCGGCCTCAACCTGGGGCTCATGGCCCTGGACCCGATGGAGCTGCGTATCGTGCAGAACTGCGGCACGGAGAAGGAGAAGAATTACGCCAAGCGCATTGAGCCCGTGCGCAGGCAAGGCAACTACCTGCTGTGCTCGCTGCTGCTGGGCAACGTGCTGGTCAACACCACGCTCACCATCCTGCTCGACGACATCGCCGGTTCAGGCCTCGTGGCGGTGGTGGTCTCCACCATCGGCATCGTCATCTTCGGGGAGATCGTGCCCCAGGCCATCTGCTCCCGCCACGGCCTGGCTGTAGGGGCCAACACCATCTTCCTCACCAAGTTTTTCATGATGATGACATTCCCTGCTTCGTACCCAGTCAGCAAGCTTCTGGACTGCGTCCTGGGCCAGGAGATAGGCACAGTATATAACCGCGAAAAACTGCTGGAGATGCTCCGAGTCACAGACCCCTACAACGACCTCGTTAAGGAGGAGCTGAACATCATCCAAGGGGCGCTGGAGCTCCGCACCAAGACCGTGGAGGACGTGATGACTCCCCTCCGCGACTGCTTCATGATCACCGGCGAAGCCATTCTGGACTTCAACACCATGTCGGAGATCATGGAGAGCGGCTACACGCGCATTCCAGTATTCGAGGGGGAGCGCTCCAACATCGTGGACCTCCTCTTTGTCAAAGACTTGGCCTTCGTGGATCCAGATGACTGTACTCCCCTGAAAACCATCACTAAATTTTATAACCACCCCTTGCACTTTGTTTTCAATGACACCAAGTTGGACGCTATGCTGGAAGAATTTAAGAAAGGTGGGAAATTTTGGTATCTTTCATTGGCTTGCTCTTTCTCTTTCTCCATCCTCCTCCCTACTTGAGTCCTCGACCCTCAGACCAACCCCCTCATCCCCCAAGGCGAGTTGACCGGAATTTCTCCTCTGTTTGAATTGCAAAGTTGAAAGGGTGGTGTGGGTTTGGGGATGAGTTGGACTAGTAAGCGCTTCTAGGTTCTTTAAAAAGCGCAGGACTGCCTGCCCATCGCTTGCGTTTTTCCATATCCAGAAAGCAGGCTTCCTATTTTCTGTGCAGGATACTCTCCCTGGCCTTCTGGTCTTGAGTGGTTCTGAGTGGGTAAATTAAAGGAGGGGTGGGTAATGCCAGGCTATACCTTTTGGTTGACATGTACTAATCGCAGGCTTTGGGAAAACATTTTAATAGCTTGTCTACACCCAACACAATCCTTTTCCTCCTCCTTAAATATTCAGAGATTGGCGTTTCAGAGATTGGAAGTGCATTTTCAATAGCTTCTGTTCCTGGTTGTCTGGTGACCTGTGGGGAAAATTGAGGTCTGCCTTTGATGATAGGGGATGGGATAAGCCAAGTATTACCAAAAAAGCTCACTCATTTGAATGTGACTTGCCTTAGCTAGAGAAGAGGGTTTTTTAAACACGAAATTTCTGTATTAATATACAACTTGGAAAGAATTAGAGGTAAGTTAACCTTTTATGAGGCTATATCTTGTCTAGCTTTCTTCACTATTTGTTTATATTTACCTGACAACAAATAAAATTTCCCAAACCAAGTGCGGTTTTGGCACAAAGCTTGAACCTTTAACAGTGGGATGAATCCCCCTACTATGGTTTACTTATTCCTTGAGTCTTTCTGGTAAACAACTGTTCTTTTTAACCTTGATCACCTGGTACATTAAATTGCAGTGTGTCTCCAAGTCCGTGCTCCCTGTTCCAGGGAGTTTTAACAGGGAAGAGAAGTGCAGAGTCTGGGGTGCTTACCTTTCTTGCATTGTGATATTTTTTTGTTTGTTTTACCGTGTAATGTTCAGGTAAATAGCAACTCATACTATTATTACTGAAATTCTGCGTCTTTAAAAAAAGTTTCCAATAAATAGCTAGTGTTGTTATTTGAAAACCAAGGTATGCTGAGTTTTCTAATTGCTGTGGTGCTTGTGCACATATTAATATGCCCATGTGACCTTCGATGACCTGATAGTTCCGAAACCTAAATTTCCCTTCTTCAAATAGAATTTTGATCACCCATAGTGGTTTCTCCACTGAAAAAGGCCATGTATAAGGGTGACAGGCTCACTGGATGTGATGATCTGAACATACTCATAGTGTGGTTGTCCTAATTCTATTTTCTTGCCTGAATGGGGTCCTCTCTGGAAGAGGATCACATTGCAGTAATTTTCAGATAAAGGAATAGAGCAGAGTGTGCTTCTGAGATTGGTAATTTGCATTTAAAAGCAGAAGGAGATTCTTCTGGGTTCTTAAACAGTAAAAAGAAAATGTCCATTATCTCTAGGTGACAGAGCTTCTTTTGGCAGTGTCATTATTCTTTCACTGTTAAGTTGTTAATTGGAGCATCTAACTAGTCTCTTCTTTCATTTTGCAGTCATATTGTGATACAGAAAGATATCTTGAAATGCTTGAAAATGCCTCTGAAATACTTTATTATCTTTCTGTTGCTAAATTTCCCAATATTGATACAGATAATTCTATTTTTTTATTCAGAATTTTTGCACGTCTACTGATGGATTGATAACACTAGTGTGTATTCCCTGCTGAAGCCTTTAATTCACTTATGTAGCTTTTTGCTTTGGGAATTTGGTTCTTCTGCACCTCACAACTCATTAATCCTGCTCTTAACTCAAAATTTCAAAATTTGCATTATTTTGAAATTTGTTTTTGGTTGCCCTTGAACAGTTGTCCTATGACTGATTTATTTTCATGAGGAATGTTTTTCCCCCCAAAATGACCTCTCACAGTATTTTTTAAGTGTATCCCTTAGATGATTGAATTATGAATATTATCCCATGAATCCTAGAAAAATAATAATGCACAAGATTTTATTTTTATCCTTCACCCGAATGATGTATTTGGTTAAGGATATATAGTAAAAGTTAAAAGTACATTCAAGCCAGCGGCACATTTGGAAGAGGGGCAAAGACAGTTGCAGTTTTAGCCATGACCTTAAAATGGTAGAGTTCGTGGGTTTTTCTTAATTAAACTATGGAAATAATTGACTTTCCACTTTCCCTTTCTTGATCCTTTTTTTGATGAGTTTGGTCACTTTAACCTTACTAACAACTGTGTTAGTTCTTTCTTCTGTATGAGTTAAAATATTTCACCTGATTTTATTCTTCTTCATTTTCTAACATTATTATGAAATAATGTGAACAGTCAACTTTGTATTTTCTTTATTGAATAATGGTGTGTGGGTTGGTTTGCAGGCTTTTTCTTTCTTTCTCCTAACAATACCAACTATAACTCCCCAAAACTGGTTAGATTGTTAATCCGGATCTCATTGAAAATTACCCTTCCTAATTAAGAATGTCTGCATTGAAGACTTTCCTATATATAGTCATACATTATTAGTCTGAGCTTATTATTTACTAAGGAGGGGAAAAATTTCTGTAACGTGGAAAGAAATGAAAAACTATCTTTAGGTAAGTATGTGTGAATGTCTTTCTAATAATTAGAACTTTTGCCTGGCTATCAGGAAACTCTTAGCTTTACTTGAGGTGGGAAGGTAGTAATCAGGCTAATTTTACAGTTAGCTTATTGTTATTGTTTGCTTATTTACTCTGCCAGGTACAGGGCTAAATGCTTTACATGAATCACCTTGTTTACATTTCATGAATAGCTGAGTGAAACATTATCTCCATTTTACAAACAAGGAAACCCAGAGTTAGGTGAAATGATTTGTTTTAGGTCACACAGTAATTTGTTGATATGGGGTTTTAACTCAGGTCTGTGTGACAGCCAACCTTACTCTCTTGACCACTCTATTATGCTGACCCCCTGGGTCCTACTTTTACATTTCTATCATAATTGAATGTGAAGTTTGGTCAAAACATTGCCTCAGAGCTTGTTGGGCAACAGACCCAGAAATGTATTTAAACATATATCTGGCTTTTAAACCCAGTGCTTCTATGATATTGTACATAACAGTTGGTGTTCCTACTTTTGCCGTTAAAACAGATCACTTTTTGGCCTCTGTGATCCTAAATCTAAAGAATTCTATTTCCAGTATTTTCACATCAAGCATCAAGATTCATTTTGAAAGTATTTTATACTAACATTATGTAGTGTACTAGTGTGTGCTACTTTAGTGGACTACTCTACACTGTTTTCCTAATAGCTAAAGTATGTAGTAATGTTTTACTCTTAGTGTCTTATCTGTTTGTGTTGCAAGGGTGACTCAAACTCAGTTTAGTGTTTTAAACTTGATTTTACTTTTTTTTTTGTAGCCACCTGTATGATAATTGGTTGCTAATGAGCATCCTTTGCAGCTCTGCACCTTTGCACTCCATGCAATCAGGCTCTCTGTTTTTCTTTGCTAGTTTTGTAGTTACTTATAAATCTAAATAAGAGAATAAAAGTAAATCCCACTAGGAGATTATGAGAATTTTAGAAAGACGGTCTATAGCAAAATAGTGTAACAAGGAAAAGCTAAATTAAAGGTTGCTACCTTTGTGTGCAGAAAGCATTCTAGAGACTTTCATTTCCCTGATAAAACCTTAACAAAAGATCTGGGACTCTTAGCCACTTAGTTGTCTACACTGGGGTTGAATTTGAAGAATTAGTAACCAGTTATTGTTCTTTTGTATTGTGTTGTTTACTTTTAGTTTTGTAACAATTGCATTCCAGTATTGCAGAGCATGCTGTTTTGTAGCACTAGGGACTTAGCCAGGCTGTTTTCTAGCCTTTTATTTTAAAACTAGGAACAGGTAGAATCACCAGATCATGTTGTTCTTTAAGGGAAGAATGCAATGTATAGTTTTCACTGAAAACGTTCGGTATACAATTCTCTCTTCCTATAACACAAGTCTTTCCATATTAATGTGCTGGGAATTGAATATTAAGAAATTTTTTTTTTCACCAAATAAAGTGTTACACTTGCCCAGAATCTAGGAGGATGTTTTATTGGTGTTTAAAAGTATGGATGGTGTTGGGGGGATGGGTGTATTTGTTTCTGTGATCTCGTATGTTTATTGATTTTGTACAGTAACACATGTTAAACTATTATAATTGTGTATGTTTTTACAACTTTCTTATGAAATATTCAGATAGTATAGAATCAGAGCTGGAAGGCTGCAGGCAGCTTGAGGATCACCTAGACCAGTGTTTGAAAAACTTACCAGATGATAAGAATTACTTGGGTCACTTATTATGAGTAAGATCCTAGTCCTCACTCAGAGACTTCCTAAACATTCCAGAATCTCTAGGGAAGGAGGCATAGAATCTAGATTGTTAACAGTTCCCCTGAACTAATTCTTATTAGGTGAGTTTAGGAAGCTGGTCTAGTCAACCTCTTAAATGAGGATAGTAAATCCGGAGGAGAGAATGTTAAGTGCCTTGCTTAGGGCTACCCACCTAGCTAGTAGCATCAGTAGGACTGGAACCCGTTCTCCTGACTCTGGACAACAGTTCTTTCCACTCCCAACAAGCAGGTCTTCTGGTCCCAAGATGAAGAAGGCACCTGCATCACTGAAATGACCTGCATCATTGAAAAGGCAAATATTCAGGTTTGCCATTGATTTTTGTCTTGTGATTTTGATGTCAAAAATTTTTTTTTAAATTGGGGAATTGGGGGAGGGGAACAGCGTTGGGGAATCGGGGAAGGGGAACAGACAAGTTGCTATCCTTTTGTTCTTCAGTCTAGTTGTGGAAGATGTCGCTACACTGGCCTATGTTGGTATTATCATTGCGCTTTTCCAGGGTGAGGCAGATCGGTTGCCAGCCACTGGATGGCCGCTCACAGCGGCTCTTGGCAGCTCACGCCGGCTGCCAGCC